GGGACCTGCCGTGCGCGGACACCCTAGGGTAGGTACTTGAAGTTTGTCATGACGCCGGTACCGCGCAGCATCACGTTACGGTGGGCGTAACGCTTAAGTCTAAACCAGTATTTTCGCTGCAGCGGTGCACATATTGAGCGAATGGCGACCGGGTTTGTGCGAGAACGTAGCATATATTCAGTGTTATGGATGGCCCAACGCTAATCTATAACATTTACCGGCATCATAGGCAAAAGTAAAAAAAAACACGTTTTGCGGCAATTCCGCTTGCCAACTAGGCAATCTGCGGCCTGCATGTGTGTACTGTACAGATGTACAACAGCATTACACAGCATCAACAATATCTTAGAAAAAACATTAAAATGTTGTGGGGTTATTTTCGTGTGAAGAACGCCCTCTGGCGCCCAAACGGTTAGAGAAAGAGTCAAATGGACAAAATTTTGGCCCGAAGATTCTACTTTGACGAGTTCCTTCTGAGGAAGATGTTAAAAAATATATTTTTTAAAGAAATGTTTTAGGCTTTTTGTTTTTGATATTTTTGACACGTCAACTTTTGAGCCAGAGTGCTCAAAATCAATACAGTTCTTCATTTTCATGATATAAAAATACAATAGAAATTTGAGCCTTTTACCGTAAAGCGTTCTCGAGTTATCGTGCGAACAGACAGACAAACAAACAGACAGACGCAAAACTTTTTGATCATCACTGGAGTAATAGGCTTCGCTATCGCTCAGCCAATTATGTGTGGTTGCAGTAACATTTTATTGTTTGAATCAGTTGTGATGAGTTTAGTTAATTCATATCGTTTGTTTTCATTAGGTCTATTTGTTTGATTGTTTTTTTGGATATTATTATATGTTTGTACTTAAACGGTTTTATCCAACCCTATTGCCAATAACTTGTACAGTACAGGGCCCAATTATTGGGTCTGACATAGTAGAAGTCTCCATCCATACTTTTGTGAATGCTTTTAACGGTTGGTAATAATGCTAGCAACCACCCCTGAATGGGTTTGAGGGGAAAACAAAAAAATATGGCCTCCTAA